CTTTCAGGTTTGTTCTAGATGTAAGGCCACAATACTGCTGCTGCCAGTGGGCATGACTTCTACAGGGATGTCACAGACTGCTGGGGTTAAGGGACAAGCTTCCACCTGGGCTCATGTCTGTGGACTCTCTCTGTGCTCTTTGTCCCTGGGCTGGGACTCATGGGGCCCTGCTAGCATTCACAAGAACTCTGTTGTTATAGGTGTGACCAGTGGACCCTTGCCTCAGAGGTTGCAAAGTCTCTGTCCCTCCCTGTTGTGAGCTCTACTTCTCACTGGGTTAGGCTCTGCAAAGGTTAATAAATCCTACTCCAACATATTTGTGAGAGGTTGTATATATTTTTCCATAGATTTCAGTCAGTACCATAGATTAAATGTAGAAGAAAATATGAAAACCCAAAGATCTTCTAATGAGACAGACAAAAAAGACATTCGCAAAAATATAAAATGTTAAAGATCTACACTTTTCATTACCCTGATTATTTGCAGAAATAGTCATTTTTATTCAAAACACTTTCTGTTAACACACATCAGCTTATTAATATTATTCTAAACGAAATAGTAACATCATTAAAAATGGTTTTATTACTAGTGTGGTAAAAAATGATAGTTATAACCTCATAAATAAAATTTTACCTGGATCCCAGCTAGTTTGTAAGTCTTATGTACAGTTTGAGAATTGCTATATAAGTTCCTGGACTTGGACTTGGGAAAACAGTGACAAAGGTCTTGGTGCAGGAGAGCAAATGGCTGTGTCTGGGGCTAGGAAAATAACTGTTGGGGATTCCCCATCTCCCTCGGTTTCACTTCTCCCAGCTTGCATAATCAGTGACCCATCCCCCAGGCCTTCCTCATTGCCTGGAGCATTTCTAGGAAGGCCAATCATCACCTGGACTCATATATAAAGTCTCAGGGTGTCCACCGATGTGCCATGGATCAGATCTCCTCAGACCCAGCAGATGCAAGTCATGACTCCTCCAAACTTCCTGCTGCTCGTTGGGGCCCTAGCACTGACCGAGACCCGGGCAAGTGAGTGTGGGGTAGGGAGGAAAAGAACCTGTGGAGGGAGAAGCTAGAGGACTGCAGGTGGGGCGGTAGGACCCTGGGAAAGGCACCTCACCACTGACACCAGCCCTGTTGTCCCCTTCAGCTCCATCCTGTCCTGATCCATTTCTGTCCCTCCTAGCCACTTGTATGACATCTTGGTATCCTAAGTCTTTATCCTTATCCATCCCGCCCCCACCCCTTTTTAATCTCCTGAGTCCTCTTGGCCCATTCTCCCCTCCAGATCCATCACCCTGGGACCCTGGATCTGCTCTGGTTGAGGGTCAGCCGGGTTCTCACTTCCCCGCCCCCAGGCTCTCACTCCATGAAGCTCTTTGAAGCAGCAGTGTTCCTGCCTGGGCTTGGAGAAGCCCGGTATATTTCTGTGGGCTACGTGGACAACACGCAGATCTGGAGGTTTGACAGCTACTCTGTGAGTCCAAGGGTAGAGCCTCGGGCGCCGTGGGTGGAGCAGGTCCGGCAGGAGGTTCTGGACGAGGAAACGCAGTTGCAAAGGAGCAACACACAGAGATTCCGCGTGCACCTCAACACCCTGCGCAGCTACTACAATCAGAGCGAGGCTGGTGAGTAACACAGACGAGGCGGGGCCAGACCACGACCTCCATCCCCACTGACAAGCAGAGTCCCCCACGTTCCAGGTTCGAGAGACACCAGAGACTCTCTTGTCCCCTGGACCAGGGAAGAGTCTACAGAATTTTCACCCATGAAGTCTGCTTTTCAGTTTAGATTTAATCCAGGGTGCAGGTTGGGTTGCAGGACGGTGACCTCAGATCTGACCCCAGGGGTGGGTTCAGGGTCTCACAGCTTCCAGAGGATGTGTGCTTGCGAAGTGGGACCTGACCAGCGCCTCCTCCGCGGATATGATCAGTACGCCTACGACGGCGCAGATTACATCACCCTGACTGAGGACCTGCGCTCCTGGACAGCGGCGAACCCGGCCGCTCAGATCACCCAGCGCGAGTGGGAGGCCAGCAGAAAGGCAAAGCAGTTCAGGAAGCTCCTGGAGGACAGATACGTGGAGCTGCTCCTCAGACTCCTGGAGTACGGAAAGGAGGTGCTGCAGCACACAGGTAAGAGGGGCCAAGAGCCTCCCAACTTCCCCTGTGCCTGGCACTCCTAAGGGGAAAATGGAATAATCGCTGGAACAGCACCCTCTTTCTTGGGAAAGTTGGGAAAGGGACGAGTCCCCTGGGTTTCATGTTCTATACTAGAGAGAGAATGGCCCAGGGATGCTTACTTTTCATGGACAGTTAAGAAATCTAGTCTTCCTGAGATGATGGGCCACCTTCCCTAAAATCACCTTCACTGGATCCTTTGGACCAGGCAGCCATCTCACAAGCCAGCACTTTCTCTTTCAAGGTGCCTTTGGTCTGATAATATTTTTCAACCTGACTCCTGCTTTTCTGAGTGATTCCCCCTCCACCCAGATCAGGAGCAAAAGTCTGTGTTCCCCTCTGACCCAGGGCTCTCACCTTGACTCTAGAACTCTCTAAGGAATAGGAGATCCTCACAGATTATCCAGACTACGCTGGTTCTGGGTTTTATGCTTCTTCTTCCCAAATCACTTGTCCTATCCATTCTGAGGCTGCTTCAGTATCCATAGAGGAAACCCAAAGAGTGGATTTTCTGATTGTCCCCATCAGGTCCCCCAAAGACACATGTGACCCACCACTCCATCTCTGAGCATGGGGTCACCCTGAATTGCTGGGCCCTGGGCTTCTACCCTGCAGACATCACCCTGACCTGGCAGCGAGATGGGGAGGACCTGACCCAGGACACAGAGCTGGTGGAGACCAGGCCTGGGGGCAATGGAACCTTCCAGAAGTGGGCGGCTGTGGTGGTACCTTCTGGAGAGGAGCAGAGATACACATGCCATGTGCAGCATGAGGGGCTGCTGGAGCCCCAAGTCCTGAGATGGGGTAAGGAGGGGGACATGGGCACAGAGGAATCAGGATCCCTTCTGGAAAACTTCAACTGGCTCAAGATGGAGGCCTGGGGCTCATGGTCTCTTCTTCCCTTCCCTTCCAGTGCCCCCTCCTCAGTCCTCCATTCCCACCGTGGGCATCATTGCTGGCCTGGTTCTCCTTGGAGCTGTGCTCACTGGAGCTGTGGTGGCTGCAGCTGTGATGTGGAGGAAGGAGCGCTCAGGTAGGGAAGGGAGTGGGGGATCTTGTCCACTAGGAGCTTTCACGTCCCAGGGAGAACTTGCCCTACCTTGTTAATGGGAAGTACCATCCACACACGTGTGTTGCCCAGTCTGGAGCTGATTGCTAACCCTCACTGTTTTATAAAACCTTATGGAAATGAATCACCAATTGTTCACCTTGATAATTCTAGTGATGGGGACTTGAGTCCCAGCAAATGTCAGAGGAGAAGGTCCTTGCTGAGGACAGACTCCAGGAGGTGGTTGTGTCCAGACCCCTGTCTCTCCTTCATATTCCCCATTTCTGCCCTGGGTCTTCAGTCTCAGTTCTGGAAACATCCTGTGGTCCAGACTTGGGGATTCCTTTAGGACTTCATGGCCTGACTCTCCTTGGTCTCACATGAAGCTTCTTCTCACAGGTGGAAAAGGAGGAAGCTACATTCAGGCTGCAGGTAAGTGTGCATCAGGGATTTGGTCCCTGAGCTCCTGGGGATAGTGTAGGTGGAGCCCATGGGGGAGTCACCCACATCAGTCCCTCCGTGGTCTCATCTCTGTGGCTCTGACCAAGTTCCGTTTTGTTCTGCCCCAGGCAGCGACAGTGCCCAGGGCTCTGATGTGTCTCTCAACCCCTGAAGGTGAGACCCTGGAGGCCTGCAGTGGGAGGGCCTGGGGCAGAGAGGATGGGACCAGGTTATGGGGAAGCTGTGAGGGGGACGTTGTGAGGCTGCAGTGGACTTTGACAATGTTGACACTTACGTGATTCACCTGAATTTCTTCATGATTATTTTCTTTCACAGTGTGAGACAGCTACCTTGTGTAGCATTAAGTGAAGTGGGAGCTGCCCCAGCAGTCACATGGCTGCCCCAGAAGTCACATGGCTGCCCCAGAGTGAGGATGAGGAACAGGAAGCCAGTGGTCCCAGAAACCTGGAGGCGACTTGATGGATACTATAAATCCATGAGTATGTCTGGGGAATTCTGTGCAGTCAGAGTGCCCTCCAGCATAGGTGCACTAGGACAGGAGTGTGTTTGTGTATCTACAATGAGCAAAGAGGCTAGCTGGCTGGGGCAGAGAGCAATTGAGATGGGATCTGTGCCCAATATTGTGCAGGCCTCATTGTTGGAAGGGTATTGCCTTTTCTCTGAGTAAAATGTGGGGTACATGAGCTTTGTGGACAGAGACCCACCTATGTGACTTCTCTTTAGGAGCATCAGTCGTACAGAACAGGCGTGTCGGAGGAGAAAGCACTTGGAGAGAGATCGCAGGGATGACACAGGAGAGAGGCATGAGTAGAAGCCCCCCTTGCTTCTCAGCACTGGACTTTCACCAGGAAATAGAGGGCATGGAAGGAGACACTTGGCAGAGACCTGTGGGGACACCGGCCTTGGCCGTGGTTTGTGCTTTCATTTTGCTCCTTTTGTCCAGGACTGGCCTGGCCCCTTTCATTGGCTTCTGTGGGTCCCCACCTGAAGGGGCCTTAGACTTGTGGCAGGGTTTCAGGCTCTAGGGGCAACCCTGTTTGGTTAGGTATTTATCCACAAGGGAATCGGTAAGTTTATTTATTTATTTATTTTCTTTCTTTAGAAAAAAATATTTATTTTTTTACATAGTTGTTCATTTTTGTACAATGTATCAGGGATGGGTAACTTTGGTGTTTTATTCTGAATATTCTTTCTTCTCTTTTCTGTCTATCCATGTTATTTTTTTTTAAAGTTCTTTCACTCTAAGAAAAATAATACAGGTTTGTCATAAAACTAAAGAAAACTGCAAAACTGGACTCATAAATAGTGCATCTTTTTATGAGCAAACTGAAACAGCTGCTTTTCTCTCTCTCTGCAAAATGTAAAACTTTGGGCTTCCCTAGTGGCACAGGGGGATAAGTCTCAGCACTGTGAAGCTATCTGCAGCCACTGTAGCACGAGTTGGATCCCCAGTCAGGGAGCTACCCACATGGTGCAGTAGACCTCTCCTGTTAAATCCTAGGGCAAGTCAGGGATAATTAGGCAGCCTCAAGGAGAGTGCAGGGGCTTCAGGAGAGTTAAGAAGGCCCCAGAGATAAGGGCAACAAATTCCAAAAGGGGTAATCACACTCTCCAGGACTAAGGTCAACAGGACATTCCAAATTGAGGAAAATAAAGAAAAAAGATAAGGGCTGGGACACAGACACTCAGTTCTTGACACAGAGATATTCAGGCAGTGAGTGAGACTCTGAGAATTAACCAATCACAAAGAGACAGGTGGAGCTTTAGAGTAATCAGGGAAAGAAGGTCTCTATTCCCTGAGACACGACTCCACTTTGGCTTCCTTGCCCCTCCCTGGCCTAATTCCACTGGCCTGGGATTCCCACTTTATTTCTGTTCCTTTTCTCCTCAATAAACTTTTTCTAAACAAATCTGCCTCTTCTCGCTTGCTTGCCTGAGCGTCTGTGAAGTTTCTGCTACATCTTCATGAGACACCGGCCAGTGGTGGTCTAGTGGCTGAGACACAGCGCTGCCACTGCAGCCTGGGATCCATTCCTGGCTGGGAAACTAGGACTGAAAACCTGCAATTCCAGTATCATTTGGGGGGCTCGTCCAAGATCTCATATGATCTAAAAAGTAAGCCGAGAGGCACACATTTTCTCTATCCTCATCTTGTCCTATGTTCCTTTGCTAAACATTTTCTTTTTCTCGGAGCCATCAAGAGGCCACAAGAGGGCACAGGATGGTCAGTAATGCCAAAGGGTCACTGTCTTAAAGACTCCCATGGAAGGATAAACTGGTGACCAGACCAGATAAGGGGACTAGCCCATCCGCCAGTTGGAAACACAAAAGTCTGGTGGTCATCGTTGTCATATAAGGGAGTACAGTCTCTGAAGGGCTAGGCACACACATCATCTAGAGGCCGTGCGGGAGCTGCACATAAGGGACTGATCTCCCAGCAGCTCGGGCCATCATCCCCCACCCTCAGCAGAGGAGGAGTTGCGAGACACAGGAGAGGATGAAGGGTCCCAATGTGACATTGGGATCATTTCTCACTAAGCACTACTCAGGATCCGACACAAAACCCCACCCTGGCCTCAGATCCCTGTTAGGATTATTTAAATGGCTCCCCTTATCTTCCCTTGCTCCCTTTCTCTCTCTCTCCTCCCCATTCTTCCTTCTCTTCCAGTGTAGCTGATTTACTTCTGTTACCCGCGGGGATTCACACAGGCTGTAGACACTTCAAACTTTTTCTCTGTCCTTTATTTGACTGCAAAATTAATAGCCACCCATTGGCCCAGTAAAAGTGACTAGTGTGAGGCCGCCATTCTTAAAGTCTTGGGTGACAGGTTTCTCAGTTGGCAAGGCTTCCTGATCCCCCACTTGCTGAGTGGGAATGTCAGGATTCTCCTGTCACTGGTTCCTCTTTCCTCTATCATCCATGGACTCCGAGGTTGCTCAGGATGACTAAGCTGTGGCTCTTGGAACCCTGGACCTCCAGGAGATCCGATGGTGCAGACAAGGTGTTCTGCTAGGTTGGCACCAGGCAGGAGTCACAGAGGCCTGACTATCTAAAAAGGAACTTTTAGTCTTCTCGGCCCACCCCTATAGGGCAAACATTTTTCAGTTTCTATTCAGACAACTTATAAGTCATAAGGTACAAATCTTCTTATAAAAATCTTGGGACACTGTTAGGGAGAAATGATCTGAGCTAATCCCATACAGGCTTTGTGGACTCCACTCCCAGTCCAGACTAAAGCCATCAAGACATTGGGAAAGGCAAATCCCATCACCACCAAAGGGAGGGTGGCTGGGACCTGAGGGTGGAGTTAAGCAGCCAGGTTGGGTATAAAAACCAAACACGTGGGCCAAACACGCTATCGCTCGCCTCCTGGCTTCACGGCTCCTGGCTCGCGGCCAGCTCTCAGAGTGCCATTTTGGGATTCCTGATCGGCGGATCGGGTAGGACGCATTTAAAACTTTGTCTCCCACTTTTCTCCCTGAGCTGTACATTTCCTCATTTCCCCTTCCCTTGTAAATAAACCTTTTATTAACCTTTCGCGTGTGCCTGCAGTAGAGCATTGATAAGTCCTTTTAAGCGCGCGGGTGAGGACCCACAGTCAGGCACCCCGTTTTGTGTCGGGGCTGCTCTACAACAACACCACTGGGAGCCTTTCTCCTGGTGTCTGTTTTGACCCTGCCAGTAGACACAGGCAGAAGTTCAGTTTCCTATTATGTCAGGGATGTATGTACAGGTTTGCCTCAAATCCTAGGTAATTGATTACACCTTTGGTAAAGTAAATTGGTCTCATGGCACTTTTCCAAAAGAGAGTTTAAGTAAGTCAATATCAGGCCCTGGGCTACTGCTGGTTCAAGGACTATGACTCTGAAAATCACTTTTGTTGTCTGGTAAATGGGCATCATTGGGAATTAGGACTCAGGATCCAGTCTGTGGCTTGTGTTGAGTCTCTACTCTTCAGGTGTGTTCAGAGTCTCTTTCATCAGATGAGGACAGTGGCTTTGTTGATAAAATTAAAACCATGGCTGGGAACTAGGGCGTGATCTCAATGACAATACTGAGTCATCAAGCAGATAAGTGCCTGGAGGGCAGACTCACAATCCCTGATCTTCACATTCTTCCCCTTTTCATTAATCTCCTTCCCCTTTCTTTTAATGTCCTTCCTCCTTAATCTCCTTCCCCTTTCCTTTTGCTCCTCCCCCTTACAACAGATGCTATATATCAATAAAAATGCCAGGATCTTGCTCTTCAGCAGTATCCTGCATTATGTAGCCTGCTCCATGACTCCCCTTTCTTTATCAGTGTGGTGTTGCCCAATGCAATAGTTGTAGACAGATAGGCTTATGATCGGGTCACACTGGTAAGGGAGTGATTAATTCCAGTAGACTTTATGCAAGGAGACTGTTAATCACTCACAGTTAGGGCTCCAAGGTTAAGATGAGGGATGCCTCCAGTAGAAAGAAGCTGATGTTGGACACGTCCAGCCTTCTTATTGTGGATGGGAGCTTCCTCCTGTCAGCCTTGCAAAGG